TATGATATGATATGATATGTATATACGCACCTATCGAGAAACACAGGTGTGTATACGGACAATCTCATACACGAGCCATCCGATCCCAGCCATCGACACCATGAACACTGACACCTCTTGGAAACCTCAAGCCCTAATGCAGGGGTTTTTATAATTAGCATCGGGTTTTCGGGGTTCCCTACTATCATTGTAATATAATATAATACCCCAAACCCTACTAAGGCCCCTATATTAAGTTGGCCAACACCGTTCAGCGAAGGTTGCCCGGCCCCAGGACTATTGGGCTCAGAAGTTAGGATGAACCTGTGAGCAGTGTTGTGCCAAGCCGACATAGGAAAAAGCGTCTAGCTAGGGTTCGGGGTTCTTCTGTCGGACGGACTCGTTTCCTGTAGTCTTCAAGCTGTCGGCTGTAGGGTTTCCGAGTTTCGGCTTGAGTGTTGAGGCTTTGGGCTTCAGGAGGCCTGACGCCGTGCGGAGCCGTGAAACGATGTGTCATAACATGCTCGATGCTTTCTGGAGCATGATGTACCACAGGGGCTTCCGACAAAGCAGCCATGTTTTTAGGATGTTGGAAACCGAGCCTAAACCCTAAACCCTAAACCCCAAACCCTAAACCCTAAACCCTAAACCGTGAGTCTCAATAGCTGCTCCACACCACTTCGAAGAGGGGCCCAGCACCATCAGCCTGAAAAAGGCACCCAGCCAGCCTCTCTTGTGTATATTACGCGTCGGTCTTAGGCACCCTGTGCCCTACGCCATGAAAGTAAGGGTCTCCACCTCAAACCCTAAACCCCAAACCCAAAACTCTAAACCCTAAACCCCAAACCCTAAACCCTAAACCCCAAACCCTGAACCCTCAACCCTAAACCCTAAACTCAACACAAAAACTCCGAAGGACAGGGCTTTCAACGGTCAGAGCCGGCGGGAGGCCCTGGGAGCTGTAGCCCTGCAGAAGACCTACAGATCTCGTAGGATTTAAGGTTTAGGGTTTAGGGTTTTGGGTTTAGGGTTTTGGGTTTAGGGTTTTGGGTTTAGGGTTTCGGGTTTAGGGTTTAGGGATGTAGGGGCCTTAATAGTTAGAGTAGGGTTGTGGGGTACCTTAAACGGTTCTATAAGGGCTACTATGAGACTACACCCCTAATACCCACAAGGAAAGCAAGATGACAAACAGCAGCCGGGATGCTGAAGGACATAGACGAGTCGTCGCCAAAGAGTGCCGGGCGGCGGCAGTGAAGCCGAATCTGAAGGGGAAAGGGTGGAAACATCCCTTCTGGCCGAGGGCTCTAGGGGAATAGTCTTCTTAGGATTCAAGACCGCAGGCTGTACTGAAAGGTCCTACAACCCTACCCTAAACCCTAAACCCCTAAACCCCTAAACCCTAAACCCTAAACCCTAAACCCTAAACCCTAAACCCTAAACCCTAAACCCTGAACCGCAGGGTTTGAGGGAGTCCAAGGTTGCGCGGTTACTTCAGAGATCATGTCTGATGCTTTCTTCCAATCGGGATGCCGGCATGGTGAGGATCGGGCTTTGGGGTTTAGGGTTTGAGGTTTCTCGGTTTAGGACTTTAGAATTTGGGGATCCTGTAAGGTAACCCCAAAAAGGAACTAAATGGAGGCTATAGCTAACTCTCAATCATTGCATGCAGCATTTAGCAAGGAAGCTCACCTAGGCCACAGAATTTCGACAACGGACCTACGCGGACCGTGGGGTCTGAGTAGTTAGAGACGTGCCGTGATCGAGGGAATAGGTTTTAGGGTTTAGGGGTTTAAGGTTTAGGAATCCCTAAACCCTAAACCCTAAACCCAACCCCCAAACCGAAACCCTCCAAGCCCTATGAAGTTGACTCCTAGTCCCTTCAGCCCTAACGCTAAACCCTTCGATCCTAAAAACCTATACCTGAAACCTTACACTGCAAAGGCTTCAACCCCAAGCCCAAAACCCTAAACAACACAACCCTAAACCTGAACACCCTGAAGCCGCAAAGCCTCGGACCCTAAATCCCTAAACCCCAAACTTCAACCCCAGAGCCTACAACCAAAACACTCTACCCTAGTTTCCAAGCCCGAAAACCTGAGCCTTTAAGACCCGAGCCATCAACCCTAAACCTTAAGACCTTCAACCCTAACCCCCAACCTCTGAACCCTAAATCCCAAAAGCTCAACCCTAAACCCCAAAACCCAAGCCCCAAACCCTCCTTGCCCTAAACCCCAAACCCAACCCGCAGCCCCAAGACCCTCAAGCCTCAACCCTTATTTATTTAGGGTTTGGGGTTTAGGGTTTAGGGTTGAGGATTTAGGGCAGAAGTTATGACCCTCGACCCTGCCCTAAACCGCAAACTCTCAAGCCTAAACTGGCCCTAAGACCCTATACCACCCTAAGGCCCTATACCACCCTGAGACCCTGAGACCCTAAGCCCTAAAGCCCTCTAAGCCCTCTAAGGCCCTAAAGCCTGAGACCGCGAGACCCTAAAAAAAGTACCGCAAGCAGCCGAGGACCCAGCCAGTTTGCAGCTCTTCTCCAGAGACCAGCCTGCCCACAAACCGCTCAGGCTTTTAGGGTTTAGGGTTTGGGGTTTGGGGGTTTAGGGTTTCGGGTTTAGGGTCTCAGGGTTTAGGGTTTGGGGTTTAGGGTCTTACGGTCTCAGGGTTTAGGGTTTGGGGTTATTGGGTTTAGGGTTTGGGGTTTAGGGTCTCAGGGCTTAGGGCTTTGGGGTCTCAGGGTCTCAGGGTTTAGGGTTTGGGGGTTTAGGGTTTGGGGTTTAGGGTTTCAGGGTTTAGGGTTTCGGGTTTAGGGTGCTAGGGTTTAGGGTCTCAGGGTTTAGGGTTTTGGGCCGTTTTGGGGTCTCAGGGTTTAGAGCTTAACCCCAAAGCCTAAACCCCAAACCCAAGCTGGCGGCTCAAGGAAGCGCGCATCTCCCACTCTTCATCACAGGCGCTAGTCCAGTGATATGGGGTCTAAATCCTGAAACCAGCCTATATGCGAGATCCTGAAGCACCTAAACTCTACACCCCAAACCCTAAACCCTAAACCCTAAGCCCTAAACCCTAAACCCTACACCCTAAATTCTAAACCCTACACCCTAACCCCTAAATCCCAGATCCCCAAGCCCCTACACCCCGAAATCGCAATCCTGATCCCCCAAAGGTCCTACAACCTAAGCCCTGCCCTGAAGCCTTCCGGCTCGCCATCTTCGTCTTTGTAGGTAGTGAGGGTTTAGGGTTTAGGGTTTAGGGTTTAGGGTTTAGGGTTTAGGGTTTAGGGTTTAGGGTTTAGGGTTTGGGTTTAGGGCGCAGTGGCTTCAATTGCACAGAAGACTGATCCCTGTACTCCTTGAACGTCAAGGCGGTGGTGATGTTTAGGTGTCTCTCGTAGTTCAGCGTCGTCGCCAAGAACGTCACCAGTCACCACCCGCGCCATGACATCCAGCACTTCAGGACCATCCGTGGCTGCACGAAGCAGCCAGCTGGCGTGCTTGGCCATCCAGCCCAGACAACATGGAGAATATCATTGTGCCAGGCGTGTTCTCCATTCACGAGGGGAAGAGGGCCTCGCGCCACGTCGCTTCCTCATCACTGAGGTTCCCTAAACCCTAATCCTAAACCCTAAACCCTAAACCCTAAACTCTTCAAGGTCTCCCTAACTTCGACCTTGTTCAAAAGCTTTCTCTTGTAGTGCTCAGCCTGCTCGGATGAAGGAAGCATCGTCATGTGTCCGACGCCGATCTCCCCTCGCAGACGGACCTGTCTGGCAGGCCAGCTGAGAAGGCTCTAGGGTTTAGGGTTTCAGGCTTCGGGCTTAGCGTTAGGGGTTTGTAATAGGGGCCTTAATAATTAGACTAGGTATTTGGGCTCCTTTATAGTATAATTATAGTAAGGAACCTAAGGAATAATATAGGTAAATTTTGTCGGCTTCTATATTCGATATAACAAGTCCTGATCCAGAACACCCGACCATTGACCCGACAACCCGAAACCCCTGGCCCTGAACACTAAACCCAAAGTCCTGAACCCTAAGCGTTTAGGGTTTAGGGCTTAGAAGCCCTGCACCTTACAACCCCCAAAACCCCAAAGCCTGCTAGGACCTTTCCGCAACGAACCAGCCCTAATGTAGAGGCCTGAATAATTAGAATAGGGTTTTGGGGTATGCTATACTCTCCATATATTAAGGAACCCACGAAATAGTACAGATAATTATTTAGAATTCTACATTACTTTTGCCATGTCAGAGACATGCCAAGCCTAAACCCTAAACCGTGCTCACACCTCCACTGGCGCACTCGAGGCCGATCGCCAGGGACTGGCGAGAGCTCATTAAAGCTTGTAATATGGGCAGTTCTCTAAATTAGGGTCCATTTTAGGGTCCTTTTTATAAGAGTGCCGTACTATATTGGGGAGCTAGAAAGGGGCCCTAATGTAGAGAACTACCCATATAGGGGCCTTAATAGTTGGAATAGGCTTTGGGGATATATTATACTATGGTAAAAATAAGGAGCCCCCAAAAGAGCATCGGTAAGTATTAAGGCCGCCCCTATGGTAAGGTTGAAGGCTTTTTGGGCGTATGGGCTTCTTGGATTTAGAGCAAAAGGTTGCATGTAGTCTATGATGCTTGATGTTGTTGTTGTTGTTGTTGTCGTTGTTGCTGTTGCTGTTATGGATACTATTGCTGTTGCAATATCTGTGCTATCATGATATCATTATTGCTAATATCTCAGTATGACTATTGTTCGTATTATTACTGCTATTATTCTGACTGTAATGGTTACTATCAGTACTATTATTGTTGTTCGTATTCATGACAATATTCGTGATATCCTTTTGTTTGAGGGGCGCACGGGCTTTGAGCGTCTGGATTTAGGGTTCAAGAATTTGGGGTGGGGGTAATCCGTTGAAACAAAACCCTACCCCGATAAACCCTAAACCCTAAACCCTAAACCCTAAACCCTAAACCCCGACAGCCCTGGACAAGAACACATTGGGGCTCCCTAGCCCATGGACTTCCTCCCCTGGGCCCGAAGAGCGACCCCCTTCATTGGTGGAGTTTAGGGTTTAGGGGTTTAGGGGTTTAGGGGTTTAGGGGTTTAGGGGTTTAGGGCTTTAGGGGTTTAGGCGTTTAGGGGTTTAGGGTTTAGGGTCAATTTTGGGGTAGAGCAGTATAGGGTGTTAGGGCTACAAACCTAGATGTAGGTGCAAGGGCTTCACAGGGCGTTACAAAGCCTTGATAAGGGTCTTAGTTATGGGGGGCTACCTTCTTCCCAAGCAGTCTCGTTGATCGTTTTGTGGTTCAGGGTTTAGGGGTTTCGAAAATAGGGGCTCCCTTCTGAGCCCGAAGAAAATATGCGCATGTTACAAAAACGACCCTATACTACGAAGCACCCCTACCCCGGAGCGCCATCCTTTATTGTTAGTTGCTCGATTCCGTCAACCTCTGTGGGGCAAAACGACAACATCTCCCTAGGCACCGAACTTGAAACGGTGACAACCAGAAACCTGAACCCGAAGAAGAGCAGACAGCCCCAGACCCTAAACCCTAAACCCCTTAAACCCTAAACCCTAAACCCTAAACCCTAAACCCCAAACCTAAACCCAAAGCCCTGCCTGGCCGCAGCTGCCCATGGCCGACCCAGTCTTGCCATTAAACCACGGAGAGTAGCTGCGTCCACCTGCTGGAGTCCGAGATCTGGTGATCAGAAACTATTAGGGGTTACGGTTCAGGGTTTAGTTTTAGGAAAAGGGTCTAGGGTTTAGGGTTTAGGGAATTAGGGTTATATGAGGAGCCGGGGTTGCATGGCTACCCTCAACCACAGCCGTGAAGCCTGAACCCCAACGTACTAAAACCCTAAACTCAAAGACCCTCAGCCCCAAGACCCTAAATATAAATTCCTAAACTCCAAGGCACCCAAGAACTCAAACACCCTAATCTTAAATCCCTAAACCCTGTAGCCCCTAAGCCCAGAATAGCTGAAGGCGCAAAAGCCTTTCGGAGTCAACCAGGGTTTCGGATCAAAAACAAAATTTAAGGGTACAGGAGGGTCTCGGGTCTCCCCGGACCCCTCTGTGCCTGACAGATACCACGGAGAGTTCGACGGCGGCGGGGCACAGCTCAGCTCGAACGACTTGCAGGACTCCTCGCGACGAGCCCAAAAAGTTGTTGGATACTATTTGGCTCTAGTATTTAGCTAGTTTTTGAGGTTTCAAGTTTTAGGACTTACGGGGCTTTGGTGGTTAGCTAGTTTTGGGGTTTAAGGTTTAGGACTTAGATGGCTTTAGCGTTTACCTTTGGCTTTTAAGGTTTAAGGTTTAGGACTTAGAGGCCTTCTTTTGGTGTTGAGCTAGCTTTAGGGTTTAAGCCTTAGGACTTACGGGGCTTTAGTGTTTAGCTGGTTTTAGCGAAGAGCTCCGCTGCTCTCGTCTCTCAAACCCGAAACCCCTAAACCCCTAAAGCCCCAATCCCCTAAACCCGTAAAGCCTTAAAGCCCTAAACCTCTAAACCCTAAACCCTAAACCCCTAAACGCCTAAAAACCCTGAAGCCCTAAAAACCCTAAAACCCCTGAACAATGATTTCGCTGGGCAGAGAGGGTCGCAATGATTAGTTCCCGTCTGGCGCTGTTGGGCTCGCGGACTCTTGGCTTGGGAGTTTGCCCTGAACTCTGAAACCTAAGGGGTTTCGGGCTTAGGGTTCAGGTCAGACAACCTCCTCATAAAGCCCAACACCCCGTTCTAATGCTTTTTACTCCCTGAGCCCTCGCAAAGGCGCACCTGACATGTCACAGAGGTGACGATCCATCCCGCTGGGCAACGGGCTGTTCCATCCTCTCTCGGAGAGAAAGAATCCCAGGGGGACCCTGAACCGAACCGTGTAGGGGTGAGGGTTTACGGCTTAGGGTTCCGGGTGTAGGGTTTAGGGCTCGGGGAGGTTAGGGTTTAGAGTTTAGGGTTTATAAACCGGGAACCCCTTCATCTTCAAGCTTAGCTTTGCAGTTGAAGCTTTTCGCATTGCGGCCTTCGGGATGTAGGGACTTGAGTGTGCAAGGGTATAAGGATCTATAGGTTTGGGAGTTTCCAGAGTTTAGGGTCTCAGGCTCGAGAATGTGAAGGTTGAGCGTGTAAGGGTTACCCTAAACCCTAAACCCTGAACCCTCAACCCTAAAACCCTAAACCCTATGTACACCCAAAACCGTTTTAGGGCGTCATCAGTCCGGTGGCTAGGGCCTGAGGTCTCGAACGACTCGAACACTTCTAAATCCGGCCTCAAAGTTACCGAATTGGAAGTTCTTCGCTACTGGGGCTCTTACACGCCCAAAAAGCCTTGCACCTTAAAAGCCCTGACCCTAAACCCTAAACCCTAAACCCTAAACCCTAAACCCTAAACCCTAAACCCTAAACCCTAAACCCTAAACCCTAAGTCGACAGTATTTCGGGCTCTTGGGGGATCTATGGTTCAGGAGTTTTCGGTAGCCCCTGCTACGAAGGCACACGCCCAAGCATGTAACCGCACTGGTAATTACGGTTGCATCGGGGCCAGGGAGAGTCCTGTCGGGTTCTCCAACAACCCGAAAACCCTAAACCCTAAACTGTGGATTTTGGTTTCGCAGGTCTTCGGTGCTCTGCGTTTAGAGCTGAATATGTTCCTGGTTTCTGGCAGCTGGGTTCATTGATTTTTCTGGGGTCGCAGGGCAAATTAAATAAGTAATGCTGAAGCTTGAAACCCTAAGCCCTAAACCCCCAAACCCTAAACCCTAAACCTAAGCCCTAAACCAAACCCTAAACCCTAAACCCTAAACCCCTAACCCCAAACCCTAAGCCCTAAGCCCTAAACTCCTAAACCCGAAAAGCGCCGAATCCCAAAACTCCAAAACACCCCTCACTACCTCAACCCCCAAAGGAAACCCTACAGCCCTCAATCTAAGGAAGGTTTAGGGTTTAGGCTTTAGGGTTTTCTGTGGCGCTACTCAGTAAGCCCTGAACCCTAAACCCAAACCCTAAACCCCAAACCCTAAACCCTATTTTCCCTACACCCTAAACCCTAAACCGTAAACCCTATAAGGCCTATACTAAGATAGATGGGTTTAGGGTTTAGGCTTTGCCGGTGGGCTGACCACCGTAAAAAGCGAAAAGGCTGAGTTCTCCAAAACACATGTCACAGCATAAGCCGAAATTATCTCCGGACACCTTGGCAGCAGGGGAAGGGGCCCTTCACCCTCAAGGTAGCATCCATGCACCTACGTATTTAGTTTGGTCTCCAAAAGGTGAATGCTCTTCGCCCTAAACCCGAAACCCCAAAACCCAAACCCTTAAACCCCAAACCCTTAAACCCCAAACCGGAAACACTAAACCCCAAACCGGAAACACTAAACCCCAAACCCGAAACCCCAAACCCTAAACCCCAAACCCCAAATCCCTAAACCCCAAACCCTAAACCCCAAAACCCCGGCCTTGGAGACTGTCAATGTTCGCACCTTCCGGGAGACATTGCAGGGTTTGGGGCCCAGGACCCTGAACCCGAAACCTACGGTTGATGATCTAGATCCTGCATTACCCAGAATACGGAAGAAACCATAATAAGGAATACAGGGAATATACCATAACAAGGAACGTACCACAATTAGGAATGTACCATAATACGGAGGTTACCATAATAAGGAGTATACCATAAAGAATATACCATCATAAGGAATATACCATCATTTCTCTAGTTTACGGTCCTTAATAAGCTTAATGCAGGATTTATCTCATCAACAGTCGGGTTGACAGATACCTAGGGTTGACCGAAACCTCCGTTTTTTGTGGGGGATATTCTATATTAGGGTATGATAAGAACCTACAGTCACGTAGGTTATGGTCGGCTAAAGGTAGAAGGGCGTTTGTAGGGGTCCTTTTTCTTCTATACTAGGGTTGATAGAACCTACAATCAACTAAAGGTATATTACATATTAGGGTTGATAATAAGTAGGTTATGGCGAATTAAAGGTACAGGGGCTCAGAGTTTTGGGGGTTTCCGGCTTTTGAGGTTTGGAGTGTCCAGGGGTCTGTATTCGCCCTAAACCCTAAACACTAAATCCTAAACCCTGTA